CTAAATAGTCATCAGATCATATAGATTAGATTTGGTTGACTGATTTTACGTTCTAGAATATGTTATGGCTGCAAGATTGAATTAACATAAATTAAACTAATATTGGCCTTCGGTACAGTGCGTGCCTCTGCCAGGGCCCAACAGTGGCCATATAAAACCACATTAAAATCCATCTGATCAGAATTTTTATTTGTGTTTGCACAAAATTGCACACACTCATAAATATGAGCCACCTAAAGAGGCCTGATCCCCACCAAAATTGACAGGTTGTTCTTTGTGTTATACCTCACCCCCCACAGTATTTCATGGACATCAGTTGAGTAGTTTTTGCGTAATCCTGAAAACAAACGGATGCAAACAAAAGACATAGCCTCTTTGGCGAAGGAATGAATTGAGGGGAAAAGACAATCCACAGCTGAGCAGCTTTACTCCTTTGACATTCCAGCCACTACAAGTGATGATTTTTCACGTGGGATGGAGGTGGACATGTTCAATCTGCTCTCGAGAGCCTCTTGTAAAAGTTCAGTGATGATGTGACAGTTGAGGAATCCCTGGAGTTCAGGAGACTATTCTTCAAATTTAAGGGCACTGACTAAAGGAAAATCACAGTCTGAGGTGACACCATATGAACAGCGCTGTTTGTTAAATCAGTCACTGGTTCTGAAAAGATATTTTCAAGTATTTATTTTAAATTCTTGCAACAGTATACTGAAACAACAAAACCCAGTTTGTTCAGTCGCATCATAGCTGAGTAGAGAGGTGGGGGGAACTGTCAGCAACTGGGCTCAGAAATGCTGAGAAATCTGACTGATTCTGCTTTTCTAGTCTTAGTCGAACAAGCAACTTGATAACATTGAAAATCAATTGATGAAATTGGAAAAAATACTAAATCATATGCCTCATAAAATAATTAGCTACAGTCCAGGTCAACACAAATAGCCTTTTTAAAACTGACTTTTCTCCCATCTGTGTTAGGTGTAGAAATAAATTCAGGGTTACCACTCTAAGTCTAAATTCAATCATGTGTATTTTAGGCCTTAAAGGCCTTATGTTAAAATATTAAATTGTATATCATTGTATATACATACATTTAGGTTGATCTTATGTTGATGTTCATTTAATGCTTCTTTCACTGTGCTTAAAAAAACCCTTTTTTTTTTTGAGAAATATTTTTTGGGCCTGTAAAAGTTGTAATATCTCAGTGGACTACAAACAAGACCAATGTGGAACTGATACGTTTGTACAAACAACCAACATGATGATACCTGATAAAACGTAACGTGGCGTTTCACGGGTTATTCTCTTTGAGGCTACTTCACCTGTTTTTTAACTTGTGAGAAAAGTGTATGTAATTCTGGTTGTCTGATATTCCCTCATATTTGTCACACTTGTCATGGTCTTTAAAAGTCCTTTATTAAGTTGTTGAAATGATTGCTACTTCAAATCTACATTTAAATTATTTTGAATGTTTTCTGATACAAACAATGAACATGAACAATATGTCAATGTGACTGTGAAACTGTCATGTATACACACAGCAGCAGATGGCTAAACTTATGGTTAATCTGATGTAGAATTGTAAGTTATTATCGATGGATAATTTTTATTATCCAGCCACAAACAGACTCTTCACATTTATGTCAATATACCTGTAATTAATATATATATTGCCAGAATTGTTAAACTTTCAAACTGTGAGTGTGATGAGGCCTTTTACAGCCTTCCTCAAAACACTGATGCCACAGAAGACATGCAGGTCACTATTGTATATATTATGATTGTTGTTATTTTTACACCAATATGCTGTGTGTGTTTTCTACAGTATTATTTGTAACTGTGCAGCGTGCCTTTAAATAGACACCATGTGCACATCTGCGGAGCTCTTTCATTGCTTTGTGTGGATTTGAAAAGTGAAAATGAGCAGAAACCAAAGACTATAAATAAAGTCAAATCTTTTTTGAAGTTGACATCCTGCTAATTGGGACTCGACAGATTCACCCTAATCGCCAATTTTATCACTTCAAAGATGGTGGAAGATGGTTATTTTCTCAGGTGTCTTTATGTGTTTATATCTCTGTCCCTGTTGTTGTTGTTGTGGTTATATACAAAGTAAAGAATGATGAGAAAATATATGTAGTTTAGGGAACATCAGTTTTTGCACTGTGTTTATAAGAAAATCAGATTAGTGGTCAAGATGTTAAATGATGCGCTGAATGAGGACAGTGCAGGTTATGGAGCTTTTAAGACTTCTTGGTGTTTTTTTCCTCTGGCTTTAAATTGGACCCATGGGCCCTGCAAGAGTGGGTGCGTTTCTAGCAGTGAGCCACACGGGGCGCTGCTGCTCAGTCTTCATTGGGACGCTTGACGGGATGTTCAAAGTTTATGCAAAGGCCTGCAGCATATGAGGGACACACAAACACACACACACACACACCACTCACTCACTCATACACACATAAAACACACACACACACATACTCACACACACACACACACACACACACACACACACACACACCACTCACTCACACTCATAAACCATACACACACAACACACACCACTCACAAACCATACACACATAATACACACACGCACACAAACACACTGAAACACTCACTCACTCACTCACTCAATCACACACACACACACACACACACACACTCACTCACTCATTCCCTCACACATACACTCACAGGAGATGTTAATTTCACTGCATGCA